TTTCTCCATCTCCTGCTTCCATTCTGGTTGCTTGGTCCCCCGTCTCAGGGTTACCTTTCTTGATTCCTTTCCCCACTCACTTTTCTTTCCAACACCCATTGACCAGCGAGGCTTGTGGTCCCGTGTCTCCACCACTTCTTCTACTAAGGAATCTGACCTCTCGGATCCCAACATCTGGCAAGGTTCCAACTGGGTCAGCGGCTCTCTTTCCAGGGAGTTTTCCCCCTCTCTTGCTCCATTGTCTGACATGGTAAATTTTTGCAAAATCCCCCGGCAAGGGTCTTCCTTCCAGGTGGATTAATTTTGCAAGTCCTGTCTAATGTAAGGACCCACCCCACTTTGCATCTTAAGAAGACAGAACTCTTGGAATAATTCTTCCAACAGGAATCCTTTATTAAGAGAAAATGGTTGCAGGCATGCTAGACAGGACTTGGGGTCCAAGCTCTCCCATTCAAGGTTTTAAGGGGTTCCCCAGTAGTCCCACCCCATCAACCCCCCTTCCCAGTGATAGTTTCAAGTATCACAATTCCACCCCGTTTCTTCTTTCTTCCGTCTGGATGGAGACTTCAGATAACTACATGAAAGGCAAATACTCTTCTTTGTTAATGCTAATGTTCTCTGGATGCTAACGCTTTGAGGTTACAATAGGTTACAATAAACACACATTCAGCATTCAGCTCTTTGAAGTCTACTGAAGGAAGTGAGGGCCATAAAGCCCCTTTGTTCTCCCCCTTCTCTCCCTCTTATGGCAGAATCCAAAGAAGGCAGAATTGGGAGTTTCTATATTTGATAATTAAAGATGAAATATGATTGGATTCTGACAGATTAAATGTTTTAAAACCATTAACTACTACTTTATCTCATAGGAATATTTTCTAGTCCTCCATAAAGTTATTTGCTCTATTCTCCTTGTAGAATGATATGATTATATTTCACAGTTTGACATACTGTGCCATATTTGACCTAAGTTTAGATATATAAATCTACATTTTCATATCCTTTTGAGTCTGCAATTTATAAAATAGCTTTGGAGAAGTCACAGTTTAGCTGAATTTATTTCTGCAATTAAGAATAATTTTTAAATACGGTATCTTTGTGTTCTATGTATCATTAGATAGTTACACAATTAACTGGATCTAACTGGATGATGAGCCTTGGCATCAGTAACTTACGGCTTTATCACCTTTAGAGTAGAGTGCCATGATATGTTTTTTTTTTTTTTGATGAAACTCTTTTTGAAGACTACTTGGAAACTGCTATGGTTGTAAAGTGCATCATCTTGCATACTGGAGAGTAAAAGCCTGTACAACACACATATAATATCTGTACAGTATTATGGATGCTATATTGGCTGCTGATAGGTTCCTGGGTATAATTCAAATTACTACGTTGGAAGAGTTTTACTGTTGTGTTTTATAATGGTATTACAATATTATTTTATATTTTGTAGTTTTATCTATTATAAAGTAAAACAGGACTATACTTGATTACCATAGCATACAAGTGTAATAAATAACCAGCACTGCAGTGAATTAAGAAATAGGGTATACCATGAATTATTTCAATGAATCAAGTTATAGAGTGACATTGTAACAGATCATAGACATTTTAGAAAATATTAAGTGTCTTCATTAAATAATGTAAATAATTCAATGTTAAGTACTACTTTTTTGTACCTTCATTTTATTGGATCTAACAGGGTATGATACAATCCAGAGGAAGCAGTTGTCCCCTTTATCCCTGAGATCTCCAGAACTGTCCATTTCTGCTGCTTCACATTCAGAGCTCGGGATTATGCCTAAAAACCAATCGCTTCTTAATAATGGAACTGGCCAGAGTAGCTTTTTAGAAATGTATGAATCTGCAGATGAAAACTGTTCGTGGAATAATGTCACAATAGCAGATTTGTATCCAGGAATGGTAAAAAATCTTAGCAGACTGTTCGGTAAAGTATCCCAAAAATCTTTTTCAAATTCATTAACTGAGCGATACAAATACAGATATTGTCATTCTAAAAAAGCAAAATTTAATACCAACAAAGAGAAAACAAGAAAGTTCAGAGTACTAAATCTGACACCTCGTTTCATTGTTGAAAAAGATGAAAACAAGAAATTATCTAAAGGAAGTAATGGCGACAGAAGTCCTTTTTACAATTCAAAGCGTCAGATACAATGCTCAGAAAAAAGTATTTACAGAATAGAATCTGCTGGATCTCAGAACTCAGATAGAATGATAATAGACTGTTCTGGTATTGCAGAAGATTATTCATACAGTGAAAGTACTGGAAAACGTGTTACAGAGGAAACTTTTCCCCCTAGAACTCTTTGTGCAGATAAAACATTTTTGGTCAATAATACAACTTGTTTCCCTTTATCTTCAAACAATGTAAAAAAGAATCAAAGTTTTGAAGATTTTTCCCATACATTTTGCACTGCAGATTTAGATACAACATTTAATCCAAAAGCAGAAAGAGAAACTGGCGAACTGAGTACTATGGCATTCAAAACTACTTCAAGTTTAAGTTTGTCCTTGAACGGCAAAACAAATTCCATTTTACAAGGAAGCAAGTCTCCAGTGAAAACCTGTAACAGACTAAAAAATCATGAAATTAAAACTTTCACTGCCACTGTGTCACTACCACGAAGTCATTCTTTTTCATCATTTCATGTTAACCGAAGTCCAATTTCTTATAAACAGAAATATGAAGATGCATTTGAAAAATTATATAAGGAATTGTGTTCTCCAAAGCCACAGAAACCATTTAAGTGTTCAAATATATACGTGAGCCCTAGAAACTCTGCAGACATACACATTTCGGGTTTAGATAATCTGTCCTCAAATTTCCCTAAAAAAGCAAACAGTACGATTGAAGATCTGTACCAGAAATTATGTTCTGAAGGTTTTCCCAAATTTCCAACATTTCTAAGAGCAGCAAATTTAAAAAAATATGAAGGAGTACAGATATCTGAAACTGTAAATGCCCTTGTTAATTCTCCAATAAGAACTCTGCCTGCTGTTGCCAGAATTAAAAGAGCGGCACATTTTCGTAATGAAGATTCTCAGTATTCGCCTTTTAAAAGGTTAAAAAATAAATGTAGTAATTCTTACAAAATATATCAGAAATTTCCTTGCTGGAAAACCATTAGAAATGACGCAGCGTTCACATTGCATTCACCTGTTAAAAACAGTTTGGCATCAAATACGGTAAGTGAAATATAATCTTCTATAATGCCTTCAAACCTAAAAATTGTTTTAAAGTACCAAACCCTTTAAAAATGTTTATTTATAGGCAACATTTCTAAAATACATGAACTTACTTACAGGACAAAGTCCTATATGTACCTAGGTATAAACATCATTGAATTTAGCACAACTATTTTTAACTAATCTCTTAAACTAAGAGTCTTACTGGATGTTATGGCACTATGTAGTTCTCCTTATCTCTGTTCTTTTCTAATGTGTGAATTAGATTATGGAAGAATATTAATATTTGGATGCTAGAATTTTTTTTCTTTTAAATTTTTATATCCAAGTGACAGATTTAACATGTATGGCAGATGAAGGATAATGTTTGATCCAAATCATCTGCAAAAATAGCTTGATATTTAGAAACTATAAAGTAATGCAGAATGGAAAAAAAATGTGGTAGAAGCTTATTACTAAATTAAATTTTACTATGGGACATCAGCAATCCAGGTTGATGTAAATTAAAAATTTTAAACTTTTTAATTTTCAGAATTATGGAGGTTCTGTTTCTTCAGGCCATGGCTTTTTGGCCACTTCAGTTGCTGATATGGAAGGTTGGTTTAAAAGATTTAAGTGAAAACTATATAACAATGTATTGTTCTTTGATCAGGCTAGGCCAGGGGTGTCAAACTGCCCATTGCAGTTTCATCATTGCCCATCCCATTGCCAGCAAGGCAAAAAGAGTCACGATGCTTCGCGACACGTCATGTGACATGGCGAGTTTGACACCTGTGAGTTAGGCAATTAATTGTTTATCCCAAGAAACATTCAAATGTCAATATTAGATCAACTGTAGATTTTTAATCCTTTATGCTCTATAAAAAAAACAGTATAGGCAACAAACAATAAATAGGGTCAGCAGATGCTGTCAGAATAGCACAAATTCATAATTTTGGGTTTTAATGACATCCCAACATTATTTCTGGTTCTGTCTGAACTTATTTCCTAATATTCCTAATTTTTAATATACCCGTATATGCCGGTGTATAAGACAACTTCCGGAAGCGCTAAACTTGGTGCCAAAGACGGGGGTCGTCTTATACGCCGAGTCATCTTATACGCCAGAAATACTGGTAGTTTCCGGCATAGAAGACGACGTTCTAGGAATGCGGCTCGGCGATAAAGACGGGGGTCATCTTATACGCCGGGTCGCCTAATACGCCGGCATATACGGTAATTGGGAATATTGTTTTCGTAATATTAGATCATTGGGTTGAAGTTTCTAAGTTTATTTTTAAACTTCTTTGTGTGTCCACTGATTGACAAATCCATCTGCATTTGCTTTTGTTTTTCCTACTTTCAGTAATATGAATATTAATGTATGAAATTTTTGACTTTTGAATTATCATATAGAGAAGGGTGTCAGAAGGTAATGCAACAATATGTGTATTACATACTGAATTTGGATAATTTGTTTAAAATATAATGGGAGTAATTTTTTTACTATTTTTCCCATTTCTGAACTGCACATCTCAAAGCACATTTGAAGTTAGTTTAACTTGGTTTATAAGAAATTTACAATAAGATTAATCATTATTCAACCTGCTAAAGAGACAGTATTTATACTTTTCATATCTTTGTTTTCGTTGTTGTTTTTTTTAATAATTTACAACCAAAATATTTAAACAGACACTTTTTAATCCATATCTAATTTGTTCAAAGAGTCTGGGATTTCAGATATGAATGAAAATATTCCCAGGTATTTGCGGGATCGTGAGTTTTCAAGAAAGTCACAGAATTTTATACCAAAGTAAGCAATATTTTAATTTCTTTCCAGTGTTCCATTTATTTATCTATCAAATGTATATTGCTGTCCATACTACCTAAAGTGATAGCAATTCCTTTCTTATATTTCTTTGTGAATGGATAAAAAGGAGGTGACAAAATGTTCAGGTATCCTTATGAGCTACAATTAAGGCAAGATCAATAGCCTTTCTATTATCATGAATCATATCTAAAAAAAATTGGTCCAGGGAATCAAAGGCCCTTGTGAGCAGGAGAGATACCCATATAAAATTGGTAGATCAGAGTGTATTCCTTGTTTTTAAACTATGAAGAGTTTACTGTACTTGCATTATAGTTTTGTATCTACCTCACAGCATTGGAAAAGTGGAGTGGTTATAAGGGGTCCCAAAACTTCCAAAGGAGTTGCATATGGCTTTGATGCTAAAATTTGCTCATGGGTAATCTAAGACATGTTTTGTAGGATTATAAAACAGTTTCTTGCATTAGAACATACAATATAACAAAAGATCATTGGTGTCCTCTTCTACTGTACATTCCTTCCTACATAATACTCTAATAGCAGGCAGTTCAGGGAAGGGGAGAATTACCATGAATGATCACAGATAAATAAAAATAAGGTCCAGTCAAAGCAACATTATTTATCTCTGTGTGTTCCTCTACGTCACTGAATTTATTCACTGTGCACTGAGATGATTAATTATTCCTTTATCAATATGCTGAGATGATTAGTATTGCTATATTGCTTATGGAAAAATGATAAATTATGGGCATACCATAGTGAGAAGAGAAACAGGCATTAATAGCCAGAGATTATCCACTATTAGAGTTGGACATTAATTTCTTTTAGAATTCAAAAATAAAGGAAAGTGAATAGATGAAAGAGACTATATTTAAGCTTACTGTGAAACAGTCATTCTTGTGTAAAATAATAGAAATTATCTGAAACAATTTGTTTTCCCAAATGGTCAATCCATTTTCCCAGTTATAGTTTTCATCCCAATTGACTGACATTCATTCAGAAGAGGTTAGGCAAGAGTTTTTCACAGTTTATACAAAATGGAATCTTTTGCAGGTAACACATATGCTTTGCTATGGAGCTGTGCTCTTCCCCAGTATATTTTCAATGTGGGGAAAAACAAGATACGCATGGGAAAAGGCTAATACAGGGACTTATTTAACTTTAATCCAAATAAACTAATTCATAAAAAAGGAAAGAAAACAATGTTATGTTATCTTCGATTGAATTAGTTAGACCAGGTAACAACAGGTGGACTTGTCTAAAGATAATCAACATCAATTATATTAAGTTAATGTTGTGTTCAGTCAAATGCCCAGGGTTGTTGTTACTTTGTTTTTTAAAAATACCCTGCATATGTTGATGTACAAAACTTTTCATAACATATTTTTAATATTCACAGTAATATAAACATTTTCATATGAAAATGTTTAACTAAGAGTGATGGATACTAGCAGATATCATACGTTCTGCTGTTAGCGTTAAGAACTCATATTGGTTGATCATTACATTTCACTAACAGAAATCAATGATGAGTTTCTTGTATATCATGCATTATTGATATTACAAGTGACAGTTGCTAAAAACAAAGATTATTTTGCTATGTTGTATGCTAAGTTATACAAGTTAAAATTATTATCTTCTGAAATACAACATCAAGATCAGTGGCATAATATGCTTTGATGGGCGTTATGATACTTGTTATGTTAATGTCAATGTATGAATTTCTTTGAAATGCATCAGAGAATCATTAGTTTATTGTTTATGTATGGACATACGGAAGTTGGGGGGGGGGGTTCAGTTAAAAAAGATATGGTCAATATAACTGTGCTGCTTTTTTCTTGGTATTTGTATCAGTTTAATCAAGTTTTGTTTCTTTGCTAGAGTTTCCAGAAAGCTAAGCTATAATGATGGGAGAATCAGAAGCAGTGAATTCATACAGAAGGATTATGAGGAAACATTTCTGGAAGGATTTGGAGAGGAAAATGATATTTTTTAACAAAATATATTTTAATCCCAGTAATTTCTAAACAGAACACAAATTAAGTGGAATATTCCTGAATTAAGGTAGTAAAATATTTTCACCACTTCTTTAACTCTTTAACTCATCAGCTTTAGCACAGGGCAATAGACCTAAAAGACTGCAGTGAAAATGGAGAAATAACAACTACTAATATAGTTCAGCATTCATCTCTATGCAATTATTCTATGTCATTTGAAAGTTATGGAGATAATGGAAACTGTTTCTAAAATTCAACAGTTCATTAATTGGTTTTTGCCTTCTTGGTGATTTATTCAGCTTAAGTGACTATAAGAAACATCTTTTGTGGTACTTAATTTGTTTAATCTGCACCTCTAGAAAAAGGTTATTGGAAGTTGGGGCATAATCAAGATTTAAATGTGTTTTTATATAGTGCTTTTAACTTACTATTCAATAAGGTCATGCTTTAGGAAAAATCTTTATTTCATTGATAAAGAGTAAATATGAAAATATCCATTTTTGTATTTTTATTTTATTTTAAATGTACCTAATATTTGATATATATCTTTGTCTAATAAACATTTTAATATGTTTGTATTTTGACTGAGTTTGTTATAAGTTTGCTTTTGGAATCTGTAAGGTTATTAATTTCACCTAGGATAAGTCTTTCCTTATTTTCATTTGCTTATCAATTTTCTAGGCTACCCAAAACTAAGCATGGAAGGCTTGATTTATAGAAAAAACTATAAATTAAAAATAAAATACAATAGATACTGTTATTTGGGGGTAACAGCAACTAAACTGTTCCCTACTGTTGGGTGTTCTCAGTCAGCAGAGATGACAAAGGCTCAATTCTATAAGGCTGTCTTGTGAAGGAAAGTCATTTCAATCTTATTTTTTTTGCTTTTTGAGAAAAAGTGGGAGAGGAGAAGAAGGAACCTGTGTTGTAGAGGGGACTAGTAGCACAGTGATAAGGCACTTGGTTCTTAAGTAGTCAAAGAGCATACTTTCAATTCGTGTTCACCATTCCTTCAGGATTCTTTCTGTCACCTCTAGTATTCACTGTTTGTGAGAGTGGAGATTCATTCTCCAAGCTTGTGGATTGGCTTCTGAGTGTTTTGTTACCAGACTAAGTAACATCTTCAGCGGAATTTAGAGAATGTCAGTGTTGGTCTTCTGCTACTGTAATACTACTGTAATATACTTTCCTGTTGGTTCTATATTCATCAATCAAAAAATGATAGTTAACTTACTGAACTATATAACTATGAAAGTTAACTGAAGTAACTTTCTAGTCATAAGAAATTGCCTTATTGTTCCATCCTATTTAGGACCAAAAGAGGATTAAGAGAGAAATCCAGGAGTCCGTGGGTTTAAATATGTTACTTTGCTAAATTATATTACTTATGTTTATTTATGTATTATGTATTATATGAATAAATAACTTGATTCCTGTTCAAAATGAATTTATTTATTGGTTTCCTAGACCACCTAACTCCAAAAAGACTGAACAGTTTACATAATTTAAAAGGGAGCAAGGTCACCAGAGAAATACCACATAAATAACACCCAAAATCAACAGTGTTTGCCAGGGCCTCCAAACACATCTCAATCCCAGTATGAAGAGATTTCTGTAGCATTTAAAGGATGGGAAGCATGCATCTTGAGGAAATTGCTTTTCTGAAGTACAGAGACCATGCTTCCTCAATCCTGCAAATTATAACATTTAATGAAAGATCCTTGGACCATGCCAACTGCCCAATCATACCACATAGGCAGAAATAGTTGAAGAATTCAGAATAAAACTGCTGGCTCACAATTTTATGACATAATCAAGCTCAGGTTATTCTCAACTTCTTAGATAAACATGATTTGCAGCATATATTTTTCTAGATGATCTTGCATATGCACATTAGCATTTGTGTAATTCTAAGAATTAGGCATAAGTTAAAATATATGAAATAATTATTAGAGGAAGCATTATATAATACATATTTTGGAACTAATTCTTTACTTTCATGTCAAATTAGATGAAATGTCATATTTAAATATTTACTTCCTGTAAAAATACCAACTATATCAATTTTTTCTTGAATTTGTTCACTAGGAACAAAATGCTATTGTTTCTTAGTAATCAAAAAAGGTATAAGACAGATTTAAAGATCATCAATTGATTTCAAGACAATAAAATGCTTCATTCAAACTTCATTGCTATATTATGAGATTTCCAATGCATTCAGGTAGTTTTTATTACAAGACAATGTTTTGGACTGAATTGAACAGATACAGTATATCTGGGGGGTAATTAGGAATATCACTTCTTATAGAATACACTATAAAACTGGTGTAAAAGTCAATAACAATTACTTAAATACAATGAAAAATGTCAAATTCTTCCTTGGAGATTTATTTTTATACCTCATTTACTACTTTTTTTACAGACCATTTAATTCAGATGCTCAAGACATTACATTCTCATTGAGTAATTGGGATTGACTCTAGCAGTTCTTAACTAGCAGGAAACTAAATACATGCCGACATTACATTTGCTAGCTGTACAACTGTTAAATAGATGAATCAAAGCTGATACATTATTCCCTAATTAACCTTAAATATTTCCTGATATTATTATACATGCAGTATGGCAAGTTATAATTATACTGAGTAGAGCTGAATGAATAAGTTTTTGTCAGGAAGTTAGCAAGTTTTTTGTTAATGGTTCTAATCTTCTAATGGAATATAACTGCTTTATAGCAAAGATTGTAATTTGGCTCCTACTCATATATGAACCAGGTGGAGGGTATATAACCAGTTCCCCACTGGCATGCTAAAGGGCTAAGCAAGTTTCTCCACTGCTCAGACAACTTCTTCCATGATCCAGACTACTCTAAGCACCATGTCAAATGGTGGGCAATATTTTAATTAAAAGTCTCAGAAAGTTCTATAAATTGTTCCTCTACAGAACTCAGTGGCACAAAATATTTTGTTCAAACGATCACTTACCTAACTTGGCAATTGACTGTCTTAGTGAATGTTTACTTTGAGAAAATTATTTGGTTACTAAAACATGACATCGTTTGCCTTGTGTTTTAAACCAAACTCTCTGAACGAATCAACGTGAGAAGTGTTTTCAGTCAACTTATTTTCAGCACTGAGTTGTTCACTGTTGAGATAAATGCAAGACAGCGTGGTGGTGTTTCTGGTAAGTTGATTTTCACCCATTTCTAATGTAGGATATTTCTTTTTGGGCTGAATTTTGTGCTTTCTTCTGACACTATGATCAAGGGAAGCATAGCACATTTGGCGTTCAGCTATCTGCTACAAAAAAGAAACAATTCATATTGATCATGTTATTTCATTTACTATTATGGCAAACAGCTAACAGTAAAAGTAACAAGTCAGTTGTATGATACACCTAAATGAAATGATATAAATTTGTGTTTGGTAACTGCTTGGAAACAGGACTTTTTCCTTAGCCGGTTTCCTACCTTATTATCAATTCATCATTTTTACCTTGGAATATTGCCTTTTCTACCTCCACTGATCCATTCTTGAATCCATTGGAATAGGATCATAAAATGTAATATTGGTTTCTCTTTCTCAATTTGAATTGCTTATCTAAATACTTCTTGCTGATACATTTTTATTGCAATCTTTGGAATTTTAGTGAATTTCATTAAACCTGATAAGCTTTTAGGAATGACATTGAGCTTCCTGCAAATCAAGAACTCCACTATAGGACTCTTGATTTCCTGTTAAACCCAAAAGATTAAGATTTGTCATTATCCCCAGTCATCTTTGAGTCATATTATATAAGAAAAGTCTATTCATTACTAGGTCATTTCCCCTATTTTACTCTCTATTTGGATGAACTGGTTCAGTATCTTGATTTCACACAATTCTACTTCACTTGGTGGTGTCCTACTTTATCCCCACTCACACAAACCACTGGAGGGCTCTTATCTGGGTTAATAAACTGCCTTTGTAGCATCTTTGTAAATGAGTTATTGCAGCAGTGTTGCTCTGTTATGAGATAGCCAGATAAGTCAGAGATTATTCCATTAAGGTTCTGGTAATGTCAGTAATTCCTCAGCACAATTATCATTAACCAAATTTGCAAGGCAACCACATAGTTGCACACTTAATTTTTATTAGGTTAGAGTTATGGCAGAATATGAAGCAGAATTTGGCAGAGTGATTCTCCAATATCCTGAAAATGATCGTCTGCCTAGTAGACAGCTACTTATTTGTGTGAAATCACAGATTCTACCAATATCTGTAACATTTGAATGCTAATCTATGATTCACACACTTATATTTTCCAACTTGGAGATTAATGTGTTGATCTTAAGAATTGAGCAGCAAATAGGAGCCATGTTCAAGCATATTTAGGCATATCTCCTATCAAATTCAGGAGGGTTCCAAATGAATCTTGTTAATGCACAATCCAATTCACAGACCCTTTGTTAATCGTAATTAACTAGGTTATCTTACACCAAATCGTATTATTACGTGGAATGTGTACTTGCAGCAGCACAGTGGGATAATTTTGCCAACTTAGACCTTTCTTAGAAAGAGATCTGAATCAAGAAACAGCAGTCCTGAACTGGATGGGGGAGGGAGAAGAGGTTCAGGCTAACTGTAATTTTGAATCTCTTGGGTATGCCTAGTAACCTAGAACTTGGGTCCTCAATCCCTGCCCCCAGCCCATTATTGGGCTGAGCTTCTTCGGAACTGGACCACACAAATGGGAGTGTATATGTGCACACTCAAAGCTTCTCTTGCACGAGTGGTGGCCCACCTTCCACTTGCAAGAAACTATCCCCCCCCCCCGCCAAACCAGAAAGGTTGGGGACCGCTGGCCTAGAAAATTATAGCTTTTGTTTGGCAAGGTTCTATGTATTAGGTGTAAGCAAATAAAGGATCGGACTCAATGAGATTTCACTGTCTCATCTCTGAGCTTGGGCTTAACATTACATCTATCTTGACCACTGTATCTACATGTTAATTTACCTGCAATATCTTGGAACTCTTGACTCCATAATTTTGTTATGGAGTAATAAGTCAAATTAAAATAATAAATGGGCATAAATAAATAAAGAAGATGTATATATATTCCAGGGCTGAAATTAAACATTAAATTGGCCATATCTGATAAAGAAGATTTATATATATTCCAGGGCTGAAATTAAACATTAAATTGGCCAAGATTTTGCAAGGGGAATCCTGTATTTTAGGGCAGCTAAGATCTAGATAGATCATTCAGCACCATAAAAAAAGGTTCTGAAAAAAAACCTGTTACAAATTAAAGAACATTTACATAAAGAAGCATGTACAAACCTGTACATCAGTGGTGGATCTGGGAGAATGGACATTCATTTTCTCATAGCAACTTTCATCTGAAAATAATTTTTGAAATAGGATGTTTTAAAATAGTTACTCTATATTATTATCAATCATAAAGTTCTGCACTAAGCTTGTTATTTTTCAATACCATGCAGCGTAGCAGCTATAACTATACTGTGCTGGTAAATACCTGACATATTTCACTTCCTCTAAATTAAGGAAGGGCTTTTGGAGGGCTCAGTATAGTACTCTGCATCCACTTTCTTGCTGGGTAGATATTTAAACTTAACTGAAGAAGCTTCTTGGATGAGAAGCGAAATGTTTTCAAGGAAAAAACAAAGGAAGTCCAATTGCCTTTTGGAAAAGCATCTTTGTAACAGCCATGACCTAAATGACTGAGAATCTCCATAGACGTAGAAATTTTAAAAAGTTATTTGAATGGACTTGTCCACAGAGTTCAAGAGAAATCAAAACCATAACTCAAGCATGATTATATGGTAATTAGAAGAATTTACTTATTCTAGTTCCTTGCAACAATATTCCAGATAAGCAAATCTTTAGTATACAAAAGTTTTTATCTTCTGATTGTCATAACAACATCACTAATATTGTGGCCAAATTTTCAATGGCAACAGTTAACACAAATAATTCAAATAATCAGCAATGATTACCATATATTTAATTGTTTTTATATTCATTTATATGGACTATTGATCACAATAAAAACAAATATAAAAAGTCTATAGATTCCTATTAAAATGCCAGATATTTGAGATGTAAAAATATCAGACCAAAATAAATCACTTGGGGAATTTTTTGCATCTTTAATATAACATATAAGCTGTATGCTTCAATTAAAAACAAACGGAGATCTTTCTTTGAGGCAGGATAACAATAAAAAGCTTACAATAATGTGGTTACATAAGTGTACCCACCCTCATAAATAGTGATGTGGCTGTGTTCAGAATTAACTAATCACTTTCAAACAGATATTATAAAAGTCGATACACACTTGCCATTAAATAAAGTGACTCTGATCAAGCCCATATAAAGTTCAGCTATTCTAGTAGGATTTTTCTGATATTTACTAGTTACTTCTTTCAGCAAAAACCATGATCTGCAAAGAACTTACAAGCATCAAAGGGATCTCATTGTTGGAAAGTATAAGTTAAGATAAATGTACAAAACCATTTCCAAGGCATTGCTATATCATGGAACACAGTGAAGACAGTCATCAACAAGTGGGAAAATATGGCACAACAGTTATATTATCAAAACAAATTCATCAAAATTGATTTTAAAAAAGAAAACTCATTCAAGAGGCTACCAAGCAGAATTTCTGGCAAGTACTGGTTGTGTATTACGTATGACGACAATCTCCCCTGTTCTTCATATGTCTGGGCTGTGAGGTAGGGTGGCAAGATAGCAGCTTTTTCTTATAAAGAAGAGCATCCAAATCTGGCTACATTTTGCAAAAAAACTATATCAAGTCTGACAAAAGCATGGGGATAAATATGTTATGGTCTGATGAGACCAAGGTTGACCTTTTTGCCCATAATTCCAATAAATATGTTTAACGAGTATACTTTTTATAGCTACTGTATGTATCGATATATAGAAATTAAAAATATTAAAACATTTTAAAAAGATATAAACATTTGTTACCAACTTTTTTGTTGTACTAAGGATGGGTAATTTCCAAATATCCTCCAAACCTTAGTATATTTTATCTATTATATTATAATATAATGTAATGCAATGCAATGTAATGTAATATATACTCATATATATAAATATTAGACACAAATATAAAATATAAAAGCATATAAACTATATACTAGAGAGAGAGAGAGAGAGATACAGACTACAGACTATAGACTACAGACTATAGATAGTCTTCCAGAAGGGAAGGAAAGAAAAAAGAGAAAATGCCTACAAGGATTAATTCAAGTTAGCTGTATGAACCTATATGCAATAAATGGATAACTTTATGTATAGCTTACTTAGCATCTCCTGATGGTAGGGATTAAGGTTATCATAAACTGGATAAGCTTCTGCATGAAATTCCTCATTGCTGTAAAAGAGTACAAGAGAGTTTTAAAACAAACTTAATGTGGACACATTGTATTAATTAGTATTGCATAATTTGTTTAGAAAATATAATTTATATGACTAGGTGATTTATTTGAGTTTAGCTAACAAAGAAACATAATAAATATCCAGATTTCCATTTATAGAAACAGATTTCTGATGTTCACCATAGAAGATGCTAACATGGTTTCTTCTGATTTCTCCTCTTCTATTTCTAGCAGTCCCCTGAAAATATAATCAGTGTGTTTGTGGAAATCCACTGATGCAACTTGGAAGATATTATGGGGACTATAGGAATCATGGAGTATGAAACAGCCATGAAAATTGTTTCTTTCCACTTATAAATAATTGACTTCAAGGACATTTACAGCAGACAATCACAGCCTTTTTGGCCCATTCAGAATAATTGAATTTTTCAGACTGTGTTATGGTCATGATCACAAATGGCTGCCATAATAAAAGTACCCATAAAAAAACCTTTGCCAATGGCTGCTACCATTTTTTTTTATTATTATTTTCAGAAAATTTCTAGGGTATACACAGTTTGCAGTATATTCTTGGAAGTAACAAGCTGCATGAATCTGATACTTTATTTCCAGAATACTGAATATTATTATCGATTCTAGAAAATTAAGCTCCCATTTTAAATAATGTAAAAATAATTTGGAGCTGAAGTGTTTCCAAAATGTATCAGTTGGAAGCCACGTCAAAATGTATCACTTGGAAGCCACATATATTACACTGGGATCTAGAATACACTGAATAAAGGTCTTTCCATGTGAGCACACCACCTCAAAAAAGGAAGACTTTTGCCATACCTTGGATTACATTCATTATAATCTTCACAAATTTCCCCTGGAAAACATTTTGAAGAAATCAGCAAAATTTAAAAAACAGGTTTGTTTGGCATTTCAATATAACATATTTTTGAAGATGTGATATTTCTTTATAAAGATATTCCAAAGATAAGATGGAATGCTCTCTGCATTTTTTTTCCTACCATGCGATTCTAACTGCTATGTTTCCTTGGTTTTGCTACCTCCCTGGTACAACTTAGTGCTATCTTGGCCTCTAATGCCTATTTTCTTTCTGGTCTCCCTTCTGCCAGAATTGCCCTGTGCCCTTGTTTCCATCTTCACTTTTCTTCCTCTTTCTACTTTGATAAACTCACAAAGCAGTCTACATACAATAAATAGCAAAGAACCTGTTATAGCCAGTATTTACACTGCATGTACTATACAGCATATAGACTGCTTTATAAGTTTGGATAGAGCAATGTTCCAGGTCTAAAATGTTTCTATATACTTTATTTATTGAAAAGCCTAGAGCGCTTTTCAATAAATAAAGATATCAGCAATATTGTACTATATGCAGATTGTATATTTTTTCCCTTTTCAGCAAGTCTTTGAGAAATGTACTAATGTGGCAAGAATGCTGATTGCATATACCGTATGTTGATTTAGGACATAGAAATAAAAAGAATAGGCTTGAATCATGCAACCTTCACTGCAAATATGGAGTTGAAGGTTAGTTGCTAATGTTGGTAAGAGTGCATGTGTAAAAATAAATGGAATGCTACTGAGCAAAAAGGAAGACAGGATAAGTAATATCTCCTTTAGTATTTAATGCACCTATAGAAAAATATACAACACTGCTTGCAGAAATGTATTGCTGAGAATGGGAATGTAAGTGACATTCTGATGCAAAATAATATGTGTTTGCTAAGAATCTAGACTATCTACAACAAAGGTTAGATGGTTTGACGCAACAAATAGTATGCATCTGAACATTTATATACCAAAGACTAAGGTAATTACATTTTATAGGGGAAATGGAATAAAGGATTGAAAGTGAATAGCAAAAACTAAAAGTAAATAGTTTGATAGGAGACAGACAGACTGACAGAGACAGACAGAGAAAGAAAGATATGAAAAAGCAAAATGCCAATGAATGACACATTATATACCAAGCAGGATGTAAAAATGATGAGCAAAGATAGAAATGCATGGGAAAAGGTATTGAATGGTACTGAGTTAGAATTCATTGACCCTTTTTCTTGTCTCCTGCCTTTCATGTCTTTGCTTACGGTTTTGTTATTCCCATTCTGTGCCTTCTATAACAGGCTGTAACAAAAAAAATAGAGTTAAATATATGTATGTGTGTATGTAGTATTGCTTTGCGGCATTCCACAAATGTTCTGCAGTTTTGGTGGATCCTTTTTAAAAATAATAGCATTAGGCTGGAGACATCAAAATCTGGGCTATTTGTGTTTTCTGGCTGAGAGTGGTGGTAGTGGTGTTGGCAGTGACTATAGAAATGCATTTTTGGCTCATATGGTACCTTAAGGCATTTGCATCGAGTAATATGAATTCAGGAGCTTGTACAATAACTAGAAACAGCTGTAAAGAAGAAGCTTCAACAGCCATCGTGCTATAATAGTCATTTACTAAGGGAAGATTAAACTTGGCAAGTTTCTTCTTGTTAAACCACAACTTAAAGTATCTTATAATTATAAATATATGAGAGCTGAGATTATTTTTAATGTGGCCTTAGCAAAAATTAGAACTACCTTTACTGAGATCAGATAAATAATTACTCTTTTTATTCCATTGCAGATGAAAGTAAAACCTCACTTCCTGCTATTTCTGTAATTTACAACTTACATTATTCTACATCTTTTCCTTCAGCTTTCCTTACCTTTTTGTTTTTTGTTTTTCAAGAAGTATGAAATATTTTTCAGTAAAGAAATTATCATAATTACAGTTACAAAAGAAAGAGGTATCCAGCAAATGGTACACTGATTAGCCTCCATTCCTGTAATAAGAGAACAAATATAAACAAAAATAAGAATTTTGTTCATTTAAATTTTTCAATTTGGCATACATTTGATATGCTGGAATTTATATCCATTTGTGAATTTCACAAACACAAACATTACTTTTTTTCTTTGAAAAGATCTTTGGATATGGGTATATATATATATATATATATATATATATATATATATATATATATATATATATATATGTGTCTTTGGTTGTTCGGGTTTTCTCCCGCGTAAAATTGGAAGTGTCTTGGCGACGTTTCGATGAAGTCCCATTCGTCATCTTCAGGCTGGTGTTTTCAGCTTCATGCTTCGTGCTGCTCGAAGCACGAAGCTGAAAACACCAGCCTGAAGATGACGAATGGGACTTCGTCGAAACGTCACCAAGACACTTCCAATTTTACGCGGGAGAAAACCCGAACAACCAAAGACTTATATACAAAAACACCCGCGAAAACCTCAGAAAGCATATATATATATATATATTATATATATATATATATATATATATAATATATATATATATATGTAGGTCTTTGGTTGTTCGGTTTTCTCCCACGTAAAATTGGAAGTGTCTTGGCGACGTTTCGACGAAGTCCCATTCAAGATTTTGGGCTGCCCTGCCATTCCTTGGCTTCGCGTTCGTGGTCGTGCTTCCTCTTCATGGAGGGGGTCAGTTTGCTTCATGTATGGATTGGGGGGGTTTAAAGTGGCTAATGATGCAGCTGTGGTCTGGCTTCTGGTTTGTGGTCGTGCCTCATCATCGGTGTGGCTTTGGGTTTGTTTTTTGCGTGGATGTGTGGTGGTGACATCCTGTGTGGTTTTTGTGAGTGTGGGTCTGGTATCATTTTTTGTGTTAGGGAGTCGTTTGTCAATGAGGGCGGGTTTCCAAATGGCTGGTAGGCGGGAGGTATCATCTCGCTTGTTCATGCTGTGTGGGCGTTTTTCTATCTCGATGGCTTCTCTGATTATTCTGTTATTAAAATGTTCACTTTTGGCAATGGTTCTGGTATTTTTAAAGTCAATTTCATGTCCTGTGGCTTTAAGGTGTTGGACCAGGGAAGATGTTGGTTCCTCTTTTTTGACTGAGTTCTTATGTTCTTCAATGCGTGCACTTATTCTTCTGTTGGTTTGTCCGATGTATGTGGTGGGACAAGTGGTGCATGGGATTTCGTATACTCCTTGATTTTCTAATTCAATTTTATCTTTGGGGTTTCTAAGGATGGTGGATATTTTTCTGTTTGTGCAGAATGCTGTTTTGATGTTGTGTTTATGGAGGATCTTACTGATTCTGTCTGTGATGCCTTTTATGTATGGGAGGATGGCTTTGCCGTTTTCTTGTTCTTTGTCTTGGATTTTAGTGGGGGTTTCTTTTTGGATTAGGTTTGTAATCTTATTTCTATGGAATCCATTGGATGTTAGTACATTGGTGAGAGTGTGTAGTTCGGGTTTTAGGTGTTGTTCGTCAGCTAAGCGTTTTGTTCTGGAGATGAGTGTCTTGGCTACAGAGTTGATCTGTGCTGGGTGGTGGTGTGAGAGAGCGTGCAGATAGCGGTTTGTGTGTGTTTTCTTCTGGTAGATGGTGTGTCCTAGGGAGCCATTGGATTTCTTGTAGACTAAGACATCCAGGAAGGGAAGTTGGTTGTTAGCTTCTGTTTCCATGGTGAACTGTATTTTGGGGTGTAGGCTGTTGAGGTGTGTGAGGAAGTTGTCCAGTTTTTCTTTCCCATGTGGCCAGATTATGAAGGTGTCGTCTACGTATCTGAGCCAGAGTTTGGGTTTGTGATCCGATTTTTCTAGAGCTTGGGTTTCAAAGTGTTCCATGTAGAGGTTGGCAATGACAGGTGAGAGGGGTGATCCCATGGGTGCTCCTTCTGTTTGTTTGTATTTTTGTCCATTGTAGATGAAGTATGTGTTGGATAGGCAGTGGTTGGTCAGATCTAAGATGTGTTTGGGGGGGTTATATTTGTTTTGGATAGCTGTCAAGGCTTCTTTGATAGGTACTTGGGTGAAGAGGGATATGACATCGAAGCTCACTAGTAGGTCTCTGGGCTGTAAGTTTTGTTTCTTTATGATCTCTATAAACTGGAATGAGTTTTTTACGTGTGAGGTGATGGATTCTGCATAGGGCTGTAGTTGTTTGGCGAGAAATTTGGCTAGGTTTTGTAGAGGTGAGCCTATGGAGCTGACTATAGGTCTGAGTGGGGTTCCTTCCTTGTGTATCTTGGGGAGACCATAGAGTTTGGGGCATCTGGATGATTTCTCTCTGGGAATGATTCTTTGCTGGATCTCTTCGCTAATGGGGGAGGCTTTTATTTTGGATCTGGTGGTTTTTTCCAGGTAGGTGGTGGGATCTGTATTTAGGGGTTTGTATGTGGAGTCTTGGAGTAGGTTGGTTAATTTGGTTTGGTAGTCAGATGTGTTCATAACCACCGTGGCGTTGCCCTTGTCTGCTGGTAGGATTATTATGCTGGTGTCTTCTTTAAGGTTACGTAGTGCTGTCTGTTCCTCTTTGGGTAAGTTGCTTTTGGGTGGCTTGCTGGTGCAGAGGATGTTGGTGATTTCGAGTCTGATTCTGTTGGCGTCGTCGGGGTTGATTTTAGTCAGGCTGGTTCAACTCCACATATAATGGTTTCAGTGGGGATGTGTTTGGGAGCGACTGCAAAGTTGAATCTTTGGAAAGGACATTGGTTTCGGCTTTGGTGAGGATCCTATCTGAGATGTTATGCACTGTTTGTTTCATGTGTGGCTGTGAGGGAGGAGGGGTTTGTTTCTGGTGTTCTTGTAGTCTTCGGAGTTTGTTGGTGTGTGTATCTGTCTTGAGGTGGTCTGTGTTTCGGCTCTCCAGACGGCGAGTTGTTTGGATTTGTCCCAAAGTGCAGGGTGGATCTTGTTGCTGAGTTTGAGGTGGAGTGTGAGGAGATCTTTGTTAATTCGGTCTAGGAGGAATCTTTTTGTGTGAAGTTCATTTCTGATTAGGGCCAATTCTGTTCTTTCAGGATCCGTTTGGTGGCTGCAGAGTTGGAGGAGTGGAATTTCAGTTGGAAACATGTGGGGATTAGATTTTGATCTCGGCAGTTGCGTAGGAATGCGAGGTCGCATAAAATGAAGAGCTCTTTGGACTTCAAGTTTTTCATAGGTCCTGGTCAGAGATGGATTTCCTCCCCGTAGAGGTTCAATATTTGTTTTCTGAGTTTTCGTGGGTATTTGTATGTAGGTCTTTGGTTGTTCGGGTTTCTCCCACGTAAAAATGGAAGTGTCTTGGCGACGTTTCGACGAAGTCCCATTCGTCATCTTCAGGCTGGTGCTTTCAGCTTCGTGCCTCGAGCAGCAGTGTGTGGTCTTGGCTGTTTCTTCCTTTTAACTGCCAGTGGAGGTATGAACTGATTGGGTGGGAGCTTGGCTGTGTTCTGATTGGGTGGAGGTGTGTTCTGATTGGTTAGGGGCTTGGCTGTGCTCTGATTGGCTGGGGGGTTGGCTGTGTTCTGATTGGCTGGGGGGTTGGCTGTGCTCTGATTGGCTGGGGGAGTGTTCTGTTTGGTTGTGCTCAGGTTAGTCTGAGTTGCAGAGGGATTCAAGTTCGGGTTTTAGGTGTTGTTCTACCTGGAAAAAACCACCAGATCCAAAATAAAAGCCTCCCCCATTAGCGAAGAGATCCAGCAAAGAATCATTCCCAGAGAGAAATCATCCTTCCTGGATGTCTTAGTCTACAAGAAATCCAATGGCTCCCTAGGACACACCATCTACCAGAAGAAAACACACACAAACCGCTATCTGCACGCTCTCTCACACCACCACCCAGCACAGATCAACTCTGTAGCCAAGACACTCATCTCCAGAACAAAACGCTTAGCTGACGAACAACACCTAAAAACCGAACTACACACTCTCACCAATGTACTAACATCCAATGGATTCCAAAGAAATAAGATTACAAACCTAATCCAAAAAGAAACCCCCACTAAAATCCAAGACGAAGAACAAGAAAACGGCAAAGCCCTCCTCCCATACATAAAAGGCACCACAGACAGAATCAGTAAGATCCTCCATAAACACAACATCAAAACAGCATTCTGCACAAACAGAAAAATATCCACCATCCTTAGAAACCCCAAAGATAAAATTGAATTAGAAAATCAAGGAGTATACGAAATCCCATGCACCACTTGTCCCACCACATACATCGGACAAACCAACAGAAGAATAAGTGCACGCATTGAAGAACATAAGAACTCAGTCAAAAAAGAGGAACCAACATCTTCCCTGGTCCAACACCTTAAAGCCACAGGACATGAAATTGACTTTAAAAATACCAGAACCATTGCCAAAAGTGAACATTTTAATAACAGAATAATCAGAGAAGCCATCGAGATAGAAAAACGCCCACACAGCATGAACAAGCGAGATGATACCTCCCGCCTACCAGCCATTTGGAAACCCGCCCTCATTGACAAACGACTCCCTAACACAAAAAATGATACCAGACCCACACTCACAAAAACCACACAGGATGTCACCACCAAACATCCACGCAAAAAACAAACCCAAAGCCACACTGACTATGAGGCACGACCACAAACCAGAAGCCAGACCACAGCTGCATCATTAGCCACTTTAAACCCCCCCAATCCATACATGAAGCAAACTGACACCCTCCATGAAGAGGAAGCACGACCACGAACGCGAAGCCAAGGAATGGCAGGGCAGCCCAAAATCTTGAATCCCTCTGCAACTCAGACTAACCTGAGCACAACCAAACAGAACACTCCCCCAGCCAATCAGAGCACAGCCAACCCCCCAGCCAATCAGAGCACAGCCAAGCCCCTAACCAATCAGAACACACCTCCACCCAATCAGAACACAGCCAAGCTCCCACCCAATCAGTTCATACCTCCACTGGCAGTTAAAAGGAAGAAACAGCCAAGACCACACACTGCTGCTCGAGGCACGAAGCTGAAAGCACCAGCCTGAAGATGACGAATGGGACTTC